ATGGGGTGTCCGCGGGAGGGGGTGGGTGTCGAGGTCCCACCCGTGGCTGACAGCCGCCCCGCTGCCTCCTGCAGGGCTCTGCGCCACCCCGGAACCTCCCCACGGAGTCACCGAGCTGGACGAGATCGGCACTGAGGCTCTGCCCCGACGAACACCCGCTCCCGCCTGGCTCCCCACTGCCAAAGGTAAGGGGGTCCCCAGTGCTATAACCCAATGTCCCCTGTGGGGCTGCCCGTTGTGTCCTCAGTGGGGTCAGTGTGGGATGCCACCCTGCCCCGCCATCCCCTGTGGGGTTGGTCTGGGATGTGCACGCTACCCCACCGTCTCCAGCGGGGTCGGTCTGGAATGCCCACCCTGCCCCACCTTTCCCCGTGGGAGCGTCCTGGGTTGAACACTTGCCACGCTGCCCCCACGCAGGTGAGGAGGGGGACTTCTGCCTGCGCTCGTCGGACTGCGCGGCTGGGCTGTGCTGCGCCCGTCACTTCTGGTCCAAAATCTGCAAGCCGGTGCTGCGGGAAGGGCAGGTGTGTACCCGGCACCGGCGGAAAGGCACCCATGGCCTGGAGATCTTCCAGCGGTGCCAGTGCGCCGAGGGGCTGGCATGCCGCCTCCAGCGAGAGCACGGCCCCACCGACGCCACACCTGCCAGCGGCACTGAGTGTGGCCGGACGGATAGGACGGACTCTGGCCCTGCCGGAGTGGAAGGTTGTTTCTCAAGGGAACTACTTTTAAGCTACTAATTGCAGTACGTTACTGTGTTGTGAATACTCGAGCTGGCACTTAGCTGTACATAACACCCGGACTTTTAATGGACTTTTTTTTATTTCTGAGGGTGCTGCCTTGTGCTCTTCAAGCCATGACTGTGACTTTGTACACACTGGGTTTTTAAATCTAGGTCAAAGGGATGCGACCGTCTGTTTGCGAGCGAATAAACCATGCTTTAAAAATCAGCCAGAGCTGCCTGCGCGTCCCTGCCTGCGCGTGGCCACCATGGTCCCTCCCTGACCCAGGGGAGGGAAAAATGCACCCTGGGGTGGAAATGCCCAAAGAGAGAGGAGGGAGCGGGGTGGCTTTATTGCCAGCACCCCATGGGAAAGGCTGTATGGATATCACTGTTTATTCAGCTGCTTTTTAGGAATTACAGCATGCTGTGGTAGACACCAGTACCCTGTGGCCACCAGATGTGGGGCCAAGGCTGAGTACCGTGGCCCAGGCACTGAGAAGGGCAGGCAGCAGCGAAACACCCTCCTCCCCAATTTCTCCACTGTGTAAGGAGGGAGTGAAGGCTCCCAGGAGGGGCTGTGCTGGACCATAGTGCGCGGCCAACCATGGGGTGGGTGCCAAGGAGCACAGCAACATGTCATCATCCTCTAATCAAATCTACACAAATTTAACTATTTATGAATGAAACAACGCTAGAGGACTTAACTATTTGCTGTTGAATCATGCATTTAACTCATTCATGCATAGATAGCACACCCCACCCCTCCCCCCCCCCCCCCCCCCCCAGCTTCAAATACCATCCACCGATTGCAAGTGGTTGTAAATGTGTGTGGAGTGAGAACAGGGGCCATATCATACAGCCTGGGGCTGGTGGGCAGCAAGTGCAGTGCTGGCAACTCTGTCCTGCACCTCCTTGCAGTCTGAGGAAGGTGTTTGGGATGCAAAACCATGCCTCAGTCTTTGCTATACAACCCAAAAGTGTTTTGTGCCCAGAGCCCAAATCTGGATGCTCTGAGGGCACTGTGTCCCATTTGCAGG